AAAACAATATACTTCTTCAAGCCCCCAATTTATTTATAAAAAAAAATATTATAATTTTTTATTATTTATTTATTTTTGGATCTAATTCCTCTCCATTTCCTCAAATTTTTATCTGAATTTTAGATTCATGACAAAAGAAAAAATTAACGACTAATATTTAATTAATTAATACAAAAATTGATATAGATGATTAAAGTTTTATAAAAAAAATTATTATTTCATACTCATAACAATATATTATTTTATCTAGAAATACAGTATACACATTTTCTCTATTCCTACTTAAATTTTCCCTATTTTTACGAACATCCATCTTCTTTTTTAAATTTGTTTTTAATAAGTTAATCTTTTAAATAAAATTGTTTATGGAACTTTTTCTTTAAGAAGTTTTGTTCTTGGTCAGATTTTATTTATATCACATATTATTAAAAAAATTAAGTTAATAATTTTTTCTATTTGTTTATTTTTAAAAAAAGGAAGATAGGTATTGTGGCACTATTAATATTTTTATGATATATTAATTATTTAAAATAAGCTTTTTTAAAAAAATTAATAAATTAGAGAAAATACAAAAAGTACTAAAAAATTTACTTTATATATACCATGCAATTTTTCACCGAGGGGGTTCAGGTGAACCCCTGGCTTAAATGTGGGTCCTCCCTTAGTTGTTAAGACCTAACTCTTAGGCGCATAATAAAAAACGAAAGAAAATTTAGCTAAATCTTACTAGTTAAGGAGTTAATTACTTAGATATAGGGCTGGACATAAACACCAAAAAATCAAAAAATCAAACCGAACCTAATCATTTTGGTATTTTGGTTTTGATTCGATATTCGATATAAATTTTGTATTTTTTGGTATTTCGATTCGATTTTCGGTCGGTAATGTTGTGTTATTCGGTATTTTGGTTTACAGTAGCAACAACCCTTCACTTTCGAGTTTCGACGACTAGCGTCGACCAGACAACAGCCGCCAGTCGACCAGCAGGCAGCACAACAGCGACCGCGCGACCATCGATCAGCAGGCAATAACACGCATCAACCGCTATTCGATATGCCATCAGCCAACCTTTTCAGTTTCCACACAGCCATGCACCGACCACCGACCTCTCCCCATTTTCGGGGACCACCATCAGGTATAAATAAAATAAACTACAAATTTTAAAAACACAACAAAAAATCAAAATAACAAAATCGAACCAAAATAATAAAATCAAACTATTTCGGTTCGGTACACATTGTAAAAGAACCAAGAATCAAAAAAACCAAAAAAATCTGAAATCAAATCCAAATACCAAATGTCTACCTCTACTTAGATACACTCTAGTTTGTAATAATACAAATCTAATTATCATATTATGGTGTGTCCAGATAAGCAAAGATACGTCCAGATGCATGTCTCTCGGGATACATGAAGTCAAAATTAGTCTATTTATTCTAGATACTATTTGAGTGAATTTTATGACTAATAGATAACAAATCTTGCTGGCATTCCTTGCCTCTCTCCCATCTCGCTAGCCACTCTTCTATGCATTTGGCATCACACATACATGCGAATCACACCATATACATACTAATACTTGTACCTAGTGTGAATCTACTGTGATTTGCTTGTATCTGGTATACATAACAAATCTTGCTCACTTCTCACCCTATTATAGTGCATCTGGTAGAAAAATTACATGTATCTAAGTGTATCTTCCTTAATATATGATAGAAAACTCTTAATCAGTAGTAAGATACATAATATTTTGAAAATATAAATAATAATAGCATATATGATAGTGCAGTATATCTAATTATGTAGTTTCTCCAACAAGAAAAAAATGTTCAACAAATTAATGTGATTTGGGTAAAAAATTTTGTTTTATCTCTCAAAAGTTGTAGATAATTCAATCTATCATAGAATTCTTGACACTTAATCATGTATCGATGTTAAGGCCTATAACTCCTGGCCTGAAAAAAACATATAAATACATCCCAAAATTTAATAAGTTATTATTTGAATGGCTAATAAAAATAAAATAATATTCTAAATGTTATTCAAAATGTATAAAAGTTATATAAAATGTATGAAATATAGTAGGGCTTATTAATCAATCGGTCAACAATTTACCGTTTTCAACAATTTGATTTTGAAAAACGTGTCTTTCTAATATCAGTATGTCAAGAAGATAATAGAGTAAAAGAGGGAAAACAAGAATTTTCATATATATGCAGAAGTTTAACACAAAGATGCTTGGAACATGTGGAGAAAAAACTTTGAAAGCGGAGGGAAAATTTATGTGATTCTGAGCCGACTAAGGGCCCGTTTGGATGGGCTTAATAAAAGTAGCTTTAAAAAAGTACTTTTGAAAGTGCTGAAATTTATTTTTAAAATAAGCAGTTATGTGTTTAGATAAAAGTGCTGAAGTTGCTATGCCAAACGTGAAAAGGGAAAAATGGAAGAAAGAGATGTTAGGGTTATGTGGGTAATTTGGAGATTGTATAAAAATATTAAGGGCAAAAAGATAAAAATGTGGTCAACTTAAAACAGCTTATAAGTTAAAAATAAAAAAACACCTCTACCCCAACTTTTAACTTTTGGCTTAAAATAAGTTTTTTAAACTTAAAATAAGTTATTTTGTGTATTGCCAAACAGCTAAATAAGTCAAAAATCAGCTTTTAAGTCAGTTTGACCAGCTTTTAAGCTGAGCCAAACAGGCTCTAAAAGCAAATAGGAGCGAAAAAAGAATGACATTGCTATAGGTTCGATAATTAATTTTGATATCTTTGTCATTGACGTTGTCCTCAAAATACCCCTTAGTCAACTACTATCAGAATTTCGACAAGCAGGTCATTTTATGAATCTTTATATGTTTGGCTAACTACAATTGAATATAGTCATTCTAAGTAAAATCTCATTATTTACAATTGTATTACGTTTCTATTAATAGAAATGAATTGGAATATAATGCTACAACTAACACAATAAATATTTCTAACAAAACAATAATAATTGTTTTGGTGACTAATGAACTATACTAATTACTTTTAATATTTCTAATTATCTAAATCATTGTATTTAGGGGTGTGCATGGGTCGGTTGGGTTCGATTTTAAGTATTATCGATTTGATTTATCGGCTTTTTATTTTTAAATATGCTAACCTAATAAGATATTTTTTATCGATTTTTTATCGTTATCGGTTCGGTTTTCATTTAAGTGTCCATAAAATATTATATGACTTCTTCCTTTTTAAATGTTTTGATATAGTGAAACAAGAAAGATAATGAAAAATTGCATCAATAAGACAAAATATAGTTCAAAAGCTATAATTACATGTCATGACCGCCAAAACATAAAATGGAATTTCTTATGCTAATCAAATTAAGACCTTTACAAACTTGCAAAAGGTACAACCTATAATTACAAACTAAAACTAACATAAATTAGCTATAGTTGTGAATCTAGTGTGAAGTGGGTAGAGTACTAATAATTTTATCTAGTTATAATGTCTAGTTATACATTAACTTATTAATATCTAATATTTAGGAAGGGTGAAGTTATAAATTATTATCGTCATCGATAACCTAATAAATTTTTTAATAAATCCATTAAAAAACCCCAATACCCAATAATAATAACCTAATATCATTTTTTTTATTCGATTAATTAATCGTTTCGATTTTTGCACAACCCTAATTATATCAAATTAACTAATACAATTATGAATATTTGTATATCTTGATAAATGAATTCCATACGCGCACACACTTGGGTTTAACTTCGATATAAATATAAATACTAATATATGTATATATATATATATATATATATGATCATTTTTTATTTTTTTGCAAGAATCTATACTCGAATGTATTTATATACGACATCACAGTAAATTTGATATTTTTATGAACGTACATTAATTTTTAAATAAAATGAAAATATTCCACGAAAAAAATTAACGGTTAGATTAATTATTTTACCTTTTATAATTAGATCCGATCACACAACTTTTTTAGGCCTTTAAAGTGAATATTCACACGTTTATGTTTTTTCCTTTTGTAGCTCTTTATATCTTTCTTTTAATTATTTTATTATTTTTTGTGGGAATAAAGGAAGATTTTGCTAACATGGGAAAATATATTCAATCCCAAAAGATTTTTAATTTGAAAAAGCTATAAGATCAAAGATTAGTGCATATTGAGTTGTCATATTTCAGTGTAGTTGGTGTACATATTCTTCTTCAACCTTTATAAAGATTAATTTAAAGTATATATATGTTGGTAATAAATATATTTTATATTATTGGTTAATTTAAGGAAAAACTTGTGATAGCACACAATTTTTTTTATTACCTATCACCTTTTTTTTTAATCATTTTACAAATGAGCTTAAGTTATATACACTCATAATTTTAAACGATATTTATATGTGATCCTTTTTAAAATATGAAATTTCTAATCTCAAAATTAAGAGAAAGTATTTATAATATAACAATCTCTTACACATAATGACGCTATGACAGTATACCATAATCTAACATAGTTATCTTATACATGTGTTAGTAAAAGTAGGGGTGGAGGCAGTGTATAATGATCCGAACCTCCTCGTCAAAAAAATATTATTATTTATACATGATTAAATTTATTCTTTTTAGGTATGTATAATAGATGTCGAATTTCTTTTCACTGGTTCATATGTTTAGTTCTCAAATTTTAAACCCTCTCATTAAAATTTTGACTCTACCACTGAATAAAGGATAATACAATATCACATAAATTAGTGTGAATATGAATACAAACTGACATGAACATCATAATTATCGAAAATTTATAAATAAATTACTTTAAATAGTACAATAATAATATATATTTGTGTACATTTTTACTTTATTCTAGATCATTCAAAGTAAAGCCAACCCACCACCCAAAGTTTAAATAATACCATTTAGCCCACTGCCCATGCATAAGACTACTACTATATATAGACTTGTTTATATTGATAATTTCATCACTCTTAATTAATTTCCACAAATAATAGTCATCTTAATTATTTTTCACACAAAAATTAAAAAAATATGGCTGGCTTTAAGAAATTATTGGCAACTTTTTTTCTTGTGCTAATGCTGGTTTTTGCTGCTGGTATTTTTCTTTGACTTAAACATTTGATTTTACTTATGTTACAATTACCTAGTTTTTTATTTTATTATATATATATATATATATATATATATATATATATATATATATATATATATATATATATATATATATATATATATATATA